CTGGTAGTGCTATAATTGGTGAATTGGAATAAATTTTCTATGTCAATTCATGGATTTTAATTGTTCGTGTAACATTTGGAGTTTATATATTGAAAAAAAAAAGAGAAAAAAAGAATGATAGAAGAAAAAGAAAATAATAATAATAAAAAGAAACTATGCATTGATAGAGGTAATTTTAATTTTATAAAATATCTATATTCATATCTCTTCTTACATCTCAAGAAAGAGTTCGGCTTGTGTGGGATAGATACAAAGTGAAAAAACTATCATGTGGAGTAGTTTGTTTTATATGACTTATGTATATATTTGAGCTAAGTCTACTCATCTCTGCTCCACTAGTTTCTATGGCTCTTGAGCCACATACACAAATATTTCCCACCTTGACCCTAAGTTACGTTACAACCCTTGAAAAGTCCTTATGATTCTTGTTAAGCATACGACATAAGTGGTGGCGAATGAGAACATATGCAAGCATATGATAGAGCATCTCAATTGGAATGAATTTGAGCGAAATATTTACCTTTTAAACACATGAGAGTTGAGTGCTTATATCCATGAGGGTCTACATGTTTAATTTACTCCATCTTCATATGAAAACGCTTGCTAATTGATTATGAGTTGTATGAGAATTATTATTTATGATGTGTTATATGTTTTAAACAGTTTGGTTGTTCTATATTCATGGCATTACGACTGGGGTGTTTTGGGAAAATAAAATTGAGTTTTGCCCGAGGACGGNGGACGAACAAAAGCTAAGTGTGGGAGAATTTGATAGGAATGTAAAATACATATTTTTCCCTCCTTATATTATGTGCTCGTTTGATTAATTAATACCAAAATGTACTCATTACATACATATTTTGATTTAGGTGGCAATTCAATGGAGATGACATAATTTGGAAGAAATAGATGAAAAATGACCAAAGTGAAAGGAAATGAAAGTTCAAGAACTAACGTGAAAATACACAAAAGTTGTGTTGAACCAAATATGAAGATTTGAGAGTATTAGAAGTCAATTGAATGAAGAAAGAAGTCAAATGAGTGAAATATCGTAAAAGTAGGATCACACATCAATTTCCAATAAAAAGTTATGCATCGGATTTTCAGTCTCAGTTTGAGACCCCTTTTTTTACAAGGCAAATGATCGAATTGGAAGATGGTATCTGAAGCAAAGTTGTAGCCCTTTGAGTTAACTTTCCAATGCATCTTGAATCAACTTAATTGGATATCAGGAGAAGAAGATATGACCAAAACACTGAAAGTCGCTCGGTTACATTGCCGCTCGACCCTAAACTTCATTAACAGAAGTCGATATTTATGCTTGGGCGGCCGCCCCATTTTCTACTGGGCGCCCGCCTAAGCCAAATCGGGGAAAAATTTCTGGTTTCCTAATTTAAGTCAACTACCTGTGGAAACAACTATAAATACATATTTTAAAACCCTAGAACGGGGAGAACACCTCCAAACTCCATTCTTCTTTATTT